ACAGATTGATGGGTGCAGCAAACCACCATGGCACATGTATACCTATGTAACAAACCTGCATGTTCTGCATATGTATCCCAAAAGTTAAAGTATAATAATAATAATTTTAAAAGTGGTGAGAGCAATATCTTTGTCATGTTCTTGATATTAGGGGGAAAAAGATTCCATCTTTTACCATTAAGTATGATGTCATCTGTAGGTTTTTTGAAGATGCTGTTTATCAGATTGAGGAAGGACATGTCTATTCTTGGTTTACTAAGCTTTTTTCTTTTAATCATGAATGAGTGCTAACTTTTTTGAAATGCCTTCTCTGCATGTTTTAAAATAGATTTTCATTTTTAATCTGTTAATTTGGTAAGCTACATTGATTTTGAAATAATAAACGACTGATTATTGTTACTATGTAACAATAATACTATATAATAATACTGTGTAACAATAATCAGTGGTTTATTATTTCAAGCTTTTTAACCTTTTATTTTCTGTATGATCTATATTGATGTCCCCTAATTCTTGATATTGGTAATCTGTGTCTTTCAGTCTTGTTCAAAATCTGGCTAAAGGTTTATAAATTTTGTTCATCTTTTCAAAGAGTAAGTTTTGCATTTGTTAATTTTCTGTATTGTCTGTATTATATTTCATTGGTTTCTGTTATCTCTAATATTTTGCTCTTTTTTTGTTTTTCAAGTTTTGTGAGGTCACACCTGAAGTCACTGAATTTATATTTTTTTCTAACATAAGCACTGAAGTCTTAAATTTCCATATAAATACTAGTTTCATTAAATTCCATTTATTTTGATATATTAATTCAGTTCAAAATACTTTCTAATTTCCCTTTGATTTCTTCTGTGACTCATGAATTATTTGGAAGTATATAGTTTAATTTCTAAATATCTGGTGATTTTCCCAAAATGTTTTGGTTATTGATTAGTCATTGCACTTCATTTTGGTGAAAGAACATATTTTGTTTGATTTCATTATCTTAAATTTATTAAAACTTGTTTTATGGTCCAATATATGGGTCTATATTGGTGAATGTCCTGTAAGCATTTGAAAAGAATGGATCTTCTGCCATTATTGTCAGCGTCTTCAATAAATGTTAAGTAGGTAACATGGTTGATAATGTTGTTCCAACCCTGGGTGTATAATTCAAAAATAATTTATTAAAATAATTGCAGTCTCCAACTATAATTGTGAATTTGTTTATTTTCACTTCAGTTCTATTTATTCATCTATTTGAAATTTGTTTTTCTGTGCACACACTTTTAGAATTGTTATGTCTTTCTGGTGAACTTTCTCCTTTATAATTATGAAATATGTCTCTTTATCCCTGGCAATATTACTTGCTTTAAATTCTACTTTGTCTTATGTTGCCATATTAGTCTGTTTTCACACTGCTATAAAGAACTGTCCAAGACTGGGTACTTTATAAAGGAAAGAAGTTTAATTAACTCGCAGTTCAGCATGACTGGGGGGTGCTCAGGAAATTTACAATTACAGTGGAAAACAAAGGAGAAGCAAGGTATCTTCTTTACAAGGCACCAGGAAGGAGAATGAGCACAGGATTTACTACCAAACACTTATAAAACCATCAGATCTAATGAGAACTCACTCACTATCACAAGAACAGCATGGGGAAACTGCCCCATGATACAATCACCTCCACCTGGTCTCTCCCTTGACATGTGGAGATAATAGGGGATTATAATTCAAGATGAGATTTGGGCAAGGACACAAAGCCTAACCATATCAGTTACCAAAACCACTCCTTTTGCTTATCCTTTGCATAGCACAGGCTTTTCCATAAACTTACTTAATTTACTTATAATTTATCTGTGCATACACACTGACACACACACACACACACACACACACAGAGAGAGAGAGAGAGAGAGAGGAGAGAGACAAAGATACACACACACACAGAGAGAGAGAGAGAGAGAGAGAGAGAGAGAGAGGGAGAGAGACAAAGACAAAGAGAGAGAGAGAGAAGAGGGAAAGGAGAGAGGGAGAGAGGTTTTTTGTTTTTTCTTTTTAGAAACAGGGTCTCACTATGTTGCCCAGACTGGTCATGAACTACTGGGCTCAAGTGATCCTCCCACCTCAGCCTCCTAAAATGTTGGGATTACAGGTGTGAGTCACCATGCCTGGCTATGTGCCTTTATGTTTAAAGTGAGTTTCTTGTATGCCACATTTAGCTAAGTATTGCTTCTCTATCTAACGTATCTCTGCCTTTTAATTGCAGTATTTACATCATTTACATTTAAAATGATTATCGGTAAGGCTGGGCTTAAATCTACCAGCTTGATATTTGCTTTCTAATTGTCTCATTTGTCTTTTTGTTACACCTAGCTGGTATCTGCTACAGAATTGATTGCTTTCTTGGTGTTATAAAGAAATTCCCACACATGTGGTCACAGAAGTCTTCTGTGTTGACTGTTGTTACTGAGAGACTAGGAAAAAACACAGTTTGAGTTCATGTTTTTTCCACTCACAATCTTCCTTGGTATCTTGAAGCAAAAATCAACTGTGAGATAAGGGATGTCCTATGTGCTATCATACAACTTTGCCAGAAAAATTAGGCCAGTAAAACAAATTTTATTCAGGCTATTGCTAGAAATTAGTACATGTTTCAGTTAGAACCTAAATATAACACTGTTAGGAAAAGAGTTAACATAGAAGTCCTGAGACTGCCATCCTGAAAGACTGCTTGCAAGGCTGACCATTAGCTAGCATCTGTGAACTTAGATTGTAAACAGTATACTACACTGATACAAAACTATGCCTGATAAGGGTGGCTCGTTGTACTTAACTGTCTACACAAGCAATGTGGTTTATGCTTCTGAAAGTCTGGGATTTTGGCATGTGCTAGGCAAAGGGTGCCTACAATAAAATCTTGAGCTGAGTCTCTAATGAGTTTCTCTGGGTGGAACCACAACATATATGTTACTACATTTTCGCTGCTAGGGGAAGATTAAGCCCTGTGTGGCTCTTCATGAGGAAAAGCGCATAAGAAAACCTTCACACTGATACCTCCAGGTTCTACCTGTGTCTTTTTCTCTTATGATCTGGATGTGTATCCTCACTACATTGCTGTAATAAATCTCAGCCATGAGTACAACATGCTAAGTCCTGTAAGTCCTTCTAACAAGTCTCCAAAGGTAAGGGTAATGCTGGTGACCTCCAACACAAATACAAATAGAAAATAAACTTTCGTTTTATGTGTCATTCCTCAGGATAATGTTCAAAAAACTGATTTTCCCATTATGAATTTTTTTTTTTTTTTTTTTTTAGATGGAGCCTTGCTCTGTCACCAGGCTGGAGTGCAATGACAAAATCTTGGTTCACTGCCATCTCCACCTCCCAGGTTCAAGTAATTCTCCTGCCTCAGCCTCCCAAGTAGCTGGGATTACAGGCACACACCACCATGCCCAGCTTATTTTTATATTTTTAGTAGAGACAGGGTTTCACTGTGTTGGCCAGGATGGTCTTGTTCTCTTGACCTCGTGATCTGCCCACCTGGGCCTCCCAAAGGACTGAGACTACAGGCGTGAGCCACCAGGCCTGGCCTCCCACTATGCAATTTTGATTGTTATTTAAGTGGTTTCACTTTAAGTGGTCTTTTCCCTCTACAAATAACCAGTAGGTTCATCACTTAGATTCTGTTTGCTTTCTTCCATTTTAGGACCATATGATCTTGATAATTTGTCTATTCTTTTTAAATTTAAATACTGTAAGGCCAAAGCTTCTAACATGGTTTGGCTCTGTGTCCCCACTCAAATCTCATGTTGAATTGTAATCCCCAGTGTTGGAGGTGGGGCCTGATGGGAGGTGATTGGATCACAGGCGTGGTTTCTAATGGTTTAGCCCCATCTCACTAGTGCTGTCTCATGATAGAGTTCTCACAAGATCTGGTTGTTTAAGTGTGTAGCATCACCCTCTTCCCTCCCTATCTCCTGCTCCTCCATGTGAATATGTGCCTACTACACTTCACTTCCACCATGATTTTAAGTTCCCTCAGCCATCCTTCCTGTACTGTGGAACTGAGTCAATTAAACCTCTTTTCTTCATAAATTACCCAGTCTCAGGCAGTTTTTTATAGCAATGCAAGAACAAACGAATACAGCTTCTTTTAGCCAAAAGAAGCCACATTGGACATTAGGCCACCCACTCTGGTATATTTTTGATCATTAATATGCATCTCTTTTCTCAGCAAATCATAAATTCAGTAATACCATCTTCCACATGGCTAGGTGTAGGCTGAAAACAGCAAGAATATACTTTCACAAAATTAAATTTAAAAGTTACCAGGCTCTTACAATATATAGAAACAGATAAATAGGTATCAATGAGGGATCCAAGGAATTTTTATATTGTTTTTGATGGTTTCCTTAACTATTTTTCAAACCAATAATTATTACTGAAGGCTATATTGCTTATGGATAATAATAAAAGTTTTCTCCTATGATTTGTCAAATAAAAAGATGAGCATAAACATCTGAAGAATCTTAAGGTTGAGATTTGAAATTCAGTGTCATTGAAATAATGACCCTCTTAATCTTGTGATATTTTTACGATGGCTGCTTGATAAGAAAAACAAAGGAAAAGATAAGAAAAACAAACGCTCTGGAAATAAACTCACTGAGAAATTTTGAGTTAAAAAAGTCTACCCGTCACATGTACCATCACTATAACCAGACAGCAAATCATCTTAGACAATTAAAAATATAATGTATTAGATTTATAGCCTGTGTTTACTTTTACTCTCTTCTGACTTACAGGAATTTTGTGATGAAGAAATAATGGAGAAATGATTCATTAAGATACACAGATTTTCTAATCCATATATAATATTGTATATTCTTTTGTAATTTTAAGCAGATTTTTAAAAATAACTTGTTTTACAGAATCATTTTAGTTCTCAGTTTAAAATATATTCATTTTCTTCATTCATTTTGCTAAGAAAAAGTAACAAGATCTTAGTGTAATGTGCACTGTACCTTTAAATGATTGTTTGCAACAGCATCATGTAAGGGCAGAGTTCCATCTATATTTTCACAATTAACATTAGCACCAGCTTTTAATAACTCTACAATTATGTCAACAGATCCTTTACTAGATGCCTCATGAAGTGGTGTGCAACCTAAAAAAGAAAAAAAACAAAAACCCTTCCTCATACAAATCAATATTCATGTAATATCTGTATTACTAAAGTTTAGTTGCATTAATGGAATATTCATATTGATTCATAGTATGTACTAAGTATTGAACAAGAAATAATACTAAAAACTATGGGCTTAAAATTTATGCTTCATTTTTGAAAACAAATTGATCTCATCACAAATTGTTGATACAAGTACCAGAACAAAAGACTCACAGAATGCAAAACATAGTGAGTAAATATTACTCATTTCAATTTATTTCAACTCAGATATTAAAATGTCTGACTTACATATGTGTGTCTTTGCACTGCCACATTTCTCTTTAAAATGACACCTGGTTTAATCAACCTTTGGGTTGTTCCCTGTGGAATTCTTCAGATAAGATTCTGTTGTGCTTAACAAAGTAATCTTAGGAAAATGTTAGGTAAATTTTTCAGTTTTAGAATAAAAATAAAGAGAGAAAAAAGTTTCAGAGTTTTAGAATAAAAATAAAGAGAGAAAAAAGGAACAGTATAAAAGGAGGAGAAAAGAGAAGAAGGGACAGGAGAATGAGAAAATTCTGCATTCTCACCAAAGTTACAGGATAAACTTAAGCTTCCAAAGAAAAGGCCTAACTTCCTTTACTCCCTATTCTGTTCACCCTCTCTGATGCTCCCAAATGGATGTTAAAAACTGTTTGAAAGGAGAAAGGTCTTTTAACGGTGATAAATCTTAGTATACAACTAAACATTAATTTAATATAAAAAAGATTGTTCAAAGTTATCACTTACATATCAGCCAGCATCATATTGGAAGGGGCAGGGGTGTTCAAATTAGTGAATTCAAATCAGTGAGTTCAAATTATAAAAGTAATTAAATTAAAAGGATCCAAACCTGCATTATCATTTAGATTCACATCTGCTCCAGTTTCTATTAGGGCTTTCACTAGGGACAGATTTCCTCTTCTGGCAGCTAAATGAAGCCGGCTTTTCCCTCTGGCATGCCTCTTATTGATCCCACCTGTTTTCATTCCTGTAAATTTGCCAAACAAAATAGGTTTATTTTCTGCCAAATGCTGATTGTCATAAAGGATCTTAGAAAATACATGACAACTTCCTCAAAATATCACACTACACAGAAATAAATATCAATTGTTATCATTGCTGTTATTGTTTTAATATAGAATTTGTGAAGAAATAATAGAGCATCTAAGCACATTACTTTGCATTTATTCTACCAGTTGGTTAATCACTATCAAACAGCTGATTTAAAAAAATGAACTTTCTTCAGTTCTATCTATACTCATCTCACTCTCAGTAGTCCTTCAAACAATGAATAGTATTTTTCTAAGATAAACTGAGATATTAAAAAAATCCTCTTTCTACAGCCACTCTGTATCTCAGTGGGTGTATTCCTTATCACATAGGTGCCAAGTACCAAACTATGGCTTATGGTTTTCTATTTTTCTTTCACAAAATGTGCTGTACAATATCATCTAAAGATTTTGTTTTTTAAATCTCTTCCTTGCAATGCAACTTAGACAGACTTAAGTTGGAACTAAAAGTAATGAACTGATCATATGTTTTCTCCCTATGTCCTGCCAAAACCATGCTAAAATGACAGTAAAAAAAAATTTTAAGTACCATATATTAAAAAAAGAGGAAACAATAAAGGAAAAAGACTTCAACAACTTTAGGGGAATTAGAAAGTCAATGATGGAGAAGAGTGAACTGATTTGTCAGAGTGGGCAACACTCCAATCCAAGTGCCTGCAAAGGGAATTGCAGAGAGAGCAAGCCAATCTGAACTCAAGCACTCTACACTTGGGGACATCAGGCACTATGGAAGGCAGGTGTGTGGAACAGTGGGGGCAGGGGCAGAGTAATTGGTTAAAATCTTTTATATCAGATCTTTTACATAGAAAAGTTGAGATTCCAAGTTTCCTTCCACAACCTTCAACTGACTAGCAACCATTCCTCTTATCCCAAATCTCCAACCCAAAGCCAGGAACCTGAAGGTTTGTTTTCTACAGAAACTGCATCAGGGCCAGGTGTGGTGGCTCACGCCTATAATCCCAGCACTCTACTAAAAACACAAAAATTAGCTGGGTGTGGTGGTGGGTGCTTGTAATCTCAGCTACTAGGGAGGCTGAGGCAGATCACTTGAACCCAGGAGGTGGAGGTTGCAGTGAGCCAAGATTGTGCCACTGCCCTCCAGCATGGGTGACAGAGATTGACTCTGTCTCAAAAAAAAAAGAAAGAAAGAAAGAAAGAAAGAAAGAAAGAAAGAAAGAAAGAAAGAAAGAATGAAACTGCATCAGAGAAGCTTCAGACTGAGATGCAAAACAAAATAAAGGGTTAGGGTGATGAAACAGAAAATATTCACTAACTCAGTGGTATCAGCACCATGTTGTTAGAAACGCAAATTCTCCAGACCACCCCAAACTTACTTTGGACAGACTAAAATGGCTCCTAATGATCCTTACCATCTGGTATTTATGATTTTGTGTACTCTTCTTCTCTTTTTAGCTTGCTTCTAACCAATAGAATTTTTCAACACTGAGGATATTTCATTTCGCTGATTAGGTTAAAAGAGATTGTAACATTTTCTGTATTGCTAACAGACTTGCTGTATTCACTTCAGCTTGTATGCTTTGATGATGCAAACAGACATGTTGGAGAAGCCTCCACAGCAAGAAACTGAGGATGGCCACCAGCCAACCACCAGTGAGGAACTGAGGCCCTCAGCCAACCACCTTCAAGAAATTGAATTCTGCCAACAATCACATGAGCTTAAACATGAATTCTTCCCTAGCAGAACCTTCAGATGAGACCCCAGTCCTAACCAACACTTTGCTGCCGATCAACAAGCCTGTTAGCAGTCCCAACTAAGCCATGCCCGATTCCTGACCTACAGAAAGTAAGAGATAATAACTGTGTAACAGAGATAACTAACACACCTACTGAATCAGATTATTTGAGGGTAGGGCCCAGCAATTTGTGTTTTAACAATCCTTTCAGGTAATTCTGATGTAAACTAAGGTTTGAGAACAGCTGCATTAAACTTTGGAACTCTTCTTGCCCTATTTCCTAAATGTCATCAACCATGCATATAGTTTAGGGCAAGGGAAAAAGATTAGAGAACTGTTCTCTAAAAAATGGATTCTTGGGTTATATGAATCACAGGGAAGAATGACAGTCTTGTATCTCTCTTCCACTGGCATCCAGACAAAAACATATTGTTCTTTAGAGATTAGCAATCCAAAATTCTTTATTGAATTAAAAACATATACATAATACACACACACACACACACACACACACACACACATATATATATATATATATATATATAGAGAGAGAGAGAGAGAGAGAAAGAAACAGAGAGAGAGAGAGAGAGAATATATTTGAAAATTATATCTAAGGTTACAGGACTGCAGACTGCAAGTCTGAGTTGAAAAATCTCTCCCAGCTGGGCATGGTTCCTTACACTTGTAACCCTTGCACTTTGGGAGGCTGAGGCAGGTGGAGTTTGAAAACAGCCTGGGCAACATAGGGAGATCCCATTTCTTAAAAATATTAAAAAATTAGCTGTGTGTGGTGGCATGTGTTTGTAGTCCCAGCTACTGAGAGATACTAGGGTGGGAGGATCACGTGAGCATGGGAGGTCGAGGATGCAGTGAACTGTGATTGTGCTAGTGCTCTCTAGCCTGGGTGACAGACAAGACCCTGCCTCAAAACAACAACAACAAACTCTCCCAGTAATTCTTACTGTGCATGGTATAAATTATTGTTCCTGGTGTGTTTGTAGCAAAGAAGGTAGGCATACCTTCTTTGTTGTATATGAATCAACATTCAGTTAATAATGTTTAACCTGAAGTGGTTGAACCTATTGTTTATGACAGAACTATCTCCAAGAACTATCAAAGGATACTTACCTTGTCCATACTGTGAAACACACAGTTCTTCATCTGACACAAAACAAATTAATGGCTATGTTTCTTTAATTTCTCTTATGTTAAAAGGGCTGAATGAGGTATCTAAAGAATCTGACATATTTCACCCCTGCTATCCTCGCCAAATATTCTTGCTGTGTCTGCTGTTTATCTTATCTCCTCTAATATAATAAACTAGAAGTCATAGACATGTGATATGAATATATTTCAAGATTATTGGATTCCCAAGTGGTGCCTTAACAAATATTGCTGAAATAGTAATATAAGTTAATGAATAACTACAAAAAGAAACAATATATCTGAAAGTTTAGAAATTGCCCGAAGTAGAGTGAATTGCTGGGCCTGATTTTGTAAATTTTAACCTAAATAATTACAGGATACAAACCTTTGCAGGTAGTTTTTAAGAAACGTCTTTTTCTGAAATTCTGAACTGTTTCATGTTCTTGGATATTAGTAGGTATGTGAATTTCTGACTCTGTTTTTTCTTTTATCTCTTCACAATTTCTTGTCATTATTTCATTTCCACTGATATTATTAGTTAATTCCTCATCTGAAACAAACATTTTACAATATCAGTGTTATTGTTCTCCTCTCCGGTTATACAACTAGAAAATAAACTTTCTACTTTTTTTAAGTTTCTTTTCCACACTGGACTGTTTAAGGAAATAGAAGCTTTTAAAAATGTTTTTACGTAACAGACAAAACGTTTGCTGGTTGCAGCTCTGATGGGAATACAGAAATAATTTAAGTGAAAAGATCTAACAATTTCCTGCTATGAAAATGTTGTTCATAGCAGGTGAACAGATGCTAAATAAGTATCATATTAAAAAGTACTATGTTGCCGGGCGTGGTGGCTCAAGCCTGTAATCCCAGCACTTTGGGAGGCCGAGGCGGGTGGATCACGAGGTCGAGAGATCGAGACCATCCTGGTCAACATGGTGAAACCCCGTCTCTACTAAAAATACAAAAAATTAGCTGGGCATGGTGGCGCGTGCCTGTAATCCCAACTACTTAGGAAGCTGAGACAGGAGAACTGCCTGAACCCAGGAGGCGGAGGTTGCGGTGAGCCAAGATCGTGCCATTGCACTCCAGCCTAGGTAACAAGAGTGAAACTCAGTCTCAAAAAAAAAAAAAAAAAAAAAAAAGTACTATGTTAAAAAGCAACAAAAGAGTGATAGAAATACTGTTTATTCAAGCAATGGGGAAAGGATTCCCTATTTAATAAGCGGTGTTAGGAAAACTGGCTAGCCGTATGCAGAAAACTGAAACTGGACCCCTTCCTTCCACCTTATACAAAAATTAACTCCAGATGGATTAAAGACTTAACTGTAAGACCTAAAATCATAAAAAACCACAGAAGAAAACCTAGGCAATATCATTCAGGACATAGGCATGGGCAAAGACTTCATGACTAAAACACCAAAAGCAATTGCCACAAAAGCCAAAATTGACAATTGAGATCTAATTAAGCTAAAGAGCTTCTGCACAGCAAAAGAAACTATCATCAGAGTAAACAGGTAACCTACAGAATGGGAGAAAATTTTTGCAATTTATCCATCTAACAAAGTGCTAATATCCAGAATCTACAAGAAACTTAAACAAATGTACAAGAAAAAAACAAAAAATTCCCATCAAAAAGTGGGCAAAGGATATGAACAGACACTTCTCAAAAGAAGACATTTATTCAGCCAACAAACATATGAGAAAAGCTCAGCATCACTGGTCATTAGGGAAATGCAAATCAAAACCACAATATGATACTATCTCATGACATTTAGAATGGCTATCATTAAAAAGTCAGGAAACAACAGAAGCTCGAGAGGGTGTGGAGAAATAGGAATGCTTTTACACTGTTAGTGGGAGTGTAAATTAGTTCAACCATCATGGAAGACAGTGTGCTGATTCCTCAAGGATTTAGAACCAGAAATACCATTTGACCCAGCAATCCCATTACTGGGTATATACCTAAAGGATTATAAATCATTCTACTGTAAAGATACATGCACATGTATGTTTATTGCAGCACTGTTTACAATAGCAAAGACCTGGAACCAACCTAAATGCCCATCAATGATAGACTGGATAACGAAAATGTGGCACATATATACCATAAAAAACTATGCAGCCATAAAAAAGAATGAGTTCATGTCCTTTGCAGAGACATGGATGAAGCTGGAAACCATCATTCTCAGCAAACTAACACAGGAACAGAAAACCAAACACTGTATGTTCTCACTCATAACTGGGAGTAGAATAATGAGAACACATGGACACAGGGAGGGAACATCACATACCAGGGCCTGTTGGGGAGTCGGGGACTAGGGGAGGGATAGCATTAGGAGAAATGCCTAATGTAGATGACGGGTTAATGGGTACAGCAAACCACCACAGCAAACCACCTTTGTAACAAACCTGCACATTTGGCACATGTATATCAAAATTTATAATATAATAAATAATAAAAATAATTTAAAAATACTGTTATTAACTTCAGTTAATATCAGCTTAGCAACCATCTTTGATAACATTGGTTTGACTTTCAAAGTAATCACTACTAGGCTTTGTGGCATCCCAAATCATGGCCCACATATCCTCATTCTTCACAGTTTGGGCATATGTTGAATAAAATTCAATTGGAAATTTCTATAAAAATAAGTAAATCTATAGGAAATGTGTACAGATTAAACAATATTACTAATACCTGGTTTGTGTGAAATTTCCTTCTTTTCTCTTCGACTAAGTTGTGAGATGTTGACCAAGTCTTTATTCACAGTGTCAGTGGAATGAGAATCTATATCATGTATAGTCTCACTTTCTAGGTTTTGTCTCCTTTTTTCGGCTTTAGTTGTTTCTATTACCTGAGAATGAACAACTATAGATAATGGCTCATTTGAATAACTTAATTTTTGGTCTTTGTCAATGTAATTCCTTTCAGTGTCACAATTCTTTGCCACCTCTTCCACAATATGTGTATCTGTTTCATTCATTACAAAAGTTGGTGCTCTGGGAATACAATCCTGTGGCTTTTTGAATAGCTCCACATGATTAGTCAACTTTGAAACCTCCTGTGTCGAAAATGTTCGCATACAAACCAGGGAATTTTGCTCAGGATTGCCATGTGAGTGATCAAAAGAAGGTCCAAATATGCATTGTTCACAATTTGCAACACATTGTTCAGAAATAACTACATTATCTGAATCAGAAAAATTAACAGCTTCCTGTTTCGGAAGTGTGGTTAGGCTGACTGCTTTTACCTCATTTTCCTGTGAAAAATGATCTTCAGAAAGTAAAAACTGTTGAAAATCCATTTCTTTTCTATTTGTTAAATTCTCCTTAAAATTACAGTGGTTTTTGCAGCCTGTAGAACACATTACCTTTTTAGATATTACAGCCTTCTCAGAGGTGGAGAAATCATCATCATTATCAGAATTTCCCTTTACAAAGGATAGGAAAGCTTTTTCCCATGTGTTAAAGCTCTCATCTTTTTGGACCAATTTGCTGTTTTCATGAGACTTATAAAGGGTGTGGTGTTGTTCCTGGAGAGTGTGAGGCTGCTTATCCGTAGTAACAAGTGGTAACTTGATTTCTTTGTGTAATGAAAGTCCCGGGAAAGAAACAGCTTCAGTTTGGTCAACAGATTCTAATTCCAAGCATTGAACTTCTTGACTATCTGATAAATCCAGGTTTTGGATGTGTGTCTCTTTAGAGACTGAACAAACCTCAATATTGTTATCTAAGCCAGTTTTCAGGCTTGGCAGAGTTATGCCGGAAGGTTCACATGACTCTTCTGGAAGGTCACTAAGAGTTTGTGGAATATGCTGTTGATCAGTAACCAATCTGTTTATCCTCCTGGAAGGAAAGACAGCTAGTGTCTTTCTTGGATTGCAGTCTACATCATCTACTTGGGTCCTTTTACTTTGCATGTTTCTTCTTCCTATACCTTTAGGCAGGTTTGTGTTGGAATCTTTGACATCATAGATACTGCATTTTCTGAGTCCTGTAGAGTATATCTGCTTAAGAGTTGATTGTTTATGCTTGGATTTACCAAATTTTGTATTTTTGGAAACTTTTTGGTAATATTCATATACATCTTCTTTATTTATATTTATAAATAAACTCTCTTTGCTTTCTTTATTGACTTTTACAAGTTCTTGCTTCTGTCTGTTGTAATTTTCATTACAAACATGGCAAATGTGACTTCTAGAACTGAATTTTGGTTTCTATAAAAAAAAAATAGTTAGCTTAATTTTAAGTAGTACTATATCAACTCAATCTGGATTACTGATAATCAACCTCTTTGATTCAAACTATAATTTTAAATCCAATCTAACTACAGATCCTGCTGGGATATAACCAACTTGATATTTCAGAAATGTAGACTCATAGAAAAAAGGCAAATGTAATAAATTTAGACTCTGTATGTACACTAATCTTTATTTTCTACTGTAGATTATAATTCCTTCTTGCCAGTACTTTAGCATTATTAATCTTATTAAACATAATAAAATCTTAATCTATTTAATTTTTATAGACTTTTAAACTATTCAAATCAGTTTCCTTTACAAGGAAACTCTGTGCTGTTGTACATCTTCTATGTCTAGTGGGTTGGTGCTATTTCTTTGAGTTATAAACAAAAAGAAAAAATCAAAGAAAACAGATTCCAGTGGTCAGACTCTAGACTTTACAAGGAAACTTTACACAAATGCTTTAGAAACACTCTCCTCTCCCAATTGTTACATAGGTAGAACTAGAATTAGGAGTTTCTTCTTCTGGTATCTGGGAGAACTATGGGATGGAAGCAGAAAAATTGACTTAAAAACAGGAAGATAGGTATGTTTTTCAACCGGTCTTTTTGAAAAAAATATTATGGGCTGCTAAGATTAAAAGAGGAACACTGCTTCCTCTCTTTCACCACAACTCAAGTACCAGATGGAGAGTAGCTGCCCACCATGTAAAGTTTGAAGAGATGGGCTAATACCTTTGACTCCTGTACTATGCTTAGGCCACAGGAAATTAGACATGGTTGATAAACCATAGGCTCCATAAAGAGAAACAGGAAGGAAATGGTTACCAATATATTCATGTGCCCAGATATGCTACAAACTAATAGCCCAGAACCCTTTGATTCTCATGCAATTATTCCAGTGTCTTAAAAGTACATGTGAAGTCACTACTACTGATGCTTCAGCAGTTTTTCTCTTCCCTTTGATGATCTATAAAACAAGAAGAAGTTACATCCCTATAACAATGTTTATTACTAAGCATAGATATACCTTGTGTTGGTATACATCCTCTATGTCTAGTGGGTCAGTGCTATTCCTTTGAGCTGTAAACAAAAAGAGAAAATCAATGAAAACAGCTTCTAGTGGTTAGATTTTAGACTTCTAAAACCCACAAGTCCTTTGTCATGAGAAACTAAGTTGAATAAGTGTAATTATGCAAACATTTTATATTAAAATAATACACAGGTATAAATTCTGAGGTGGTGATATTTGGTGAGGTAGCTATATTATTTTCCCTTTGCCACTGAGTTCCCATAATGTACCAGGTACTGTGTTGAGATAGTTTACATATATTAACTTTAGTCCTCACATTAACAATCCTATAGGTAAACAGGTAGATGGGTAGATATTACAAACCCAAATTTACAGATAAGAAAATTAGGAATTTTAATTTACCCTATAAGCTTTATAGCATGTGAGGTTATAAAGTTAGGACTGAACCCTTGTCCTACCTCAAAGTAGATGTATTTTACTTTAAGATAGAAAAGCAGTCTGGGATTGCAGTCTACATCATCTAGTTGGGTCCTTTTATGTTGTGTACCTTTAGGCAAATTTGTGTTGGAATCTTTGACTTTATAGAGATTGCATTTTCTGAGTCCTATAGAGTATATCTGGTTAAGAGTTGATTGTTCATGCTTGGATATATTTTATAAGAGGAAAGTTCTTTATTCATCATTCCCATACTTGAAAGCTCTTCATCTGGAATTTAAAAATGAATACTGCTTTTATTTCTTTAAGTAAACTAATATTCTTTACTTACATACAAATACTCTTTAAGTAAACTAATTTTGCATTCATATTGAAAAATAGGCTGATAATTACTAATGGAATCTGTAAAATCAAACTTAAGAAATATTCAAACCATCTAGTGAAGCATGATAATGCAACCCAGCTTAGTAAATTCTCTCACAAAGGAAGAGTGGGATCTTAGCCCTATGGAGAAATGTTTGGGATTCCTTTACAGGAAAGAAATTTAATTGGCTAGGGAAAGGTTAAAAGTGGGCACTGGTGAACGGGAGACTCTGGATTTAGAGAAAGGACTAGAATGCTGCAGAAAGCATTCCCAAAAGAGCAAAACAATGCATATTGTAATTATTTAAAATAGAGAAGTCAAGCAGTTAAGCAGATCATCAAAGCAATAATTTAAAAGAACACTTTTGCCTCCAACTGAACAGTTTATTTGCAATTTTTCATATAGCTTAAAATGTTAATATGATTATTTTAACAATTTATCTCAATGAGTTTTTATAGATTTGTCTTCAACAAGTTACTGTCTGTCTCACTTCTCATGCAATTTGGCCACTAAGAAGGAAGGCTTTTGCTCTAATGAACCGCTAATTAATTGCCTCCTGGTGGCCTTCAATTATCAATGAAGTTTTCTCTTTACTGTAAAAGTACAGTATTTTGATCCAGGACTTAGTTCTTAGTTAATACCATTCAGATAGCTACATTTCTTGATCAAGTATATGATTCATAAAATAAGTGGCCATTAGAGCTAAAGAAAAACTAGTCTCATGACTGGTTATTGTTAGATTGCTCAATTGCACCTAATTTTCAGTAACAGACACACCCAACAATAATTGGAAGAACTGTTTTATATTAAATAGAACCCAGCTGGGAAGGAGATTGATATGGTTTGGCTATGCCCCCAAACAAATCTTATCTTGAATTGTATCTCTCATAATCCCCACATGTCATGGGAAAGACCCAGTGGGAGGTAATTAAATCATGAGGGCAGATTTTTTCCATGCTGTTTTCATGATAATGAATAAGTCTCATAACATCTGATGGTTTCATAAAGGGCAGTTCCCTTGCACTTCTCCTTGCTGCTGCCATGTGAAGAAGGATGTGTTTGCTTCCCCTTCCGCCATGATTGTCAGTTTTCCAATGACTCCCCAGTGTTGTGGAACGGAGAGTCAACTAAACCTCTTTCCTTTATAAATTACACAGTCTCAGGTATGCCTTTATTAGCAGCGTGAGAACCAACTAACACAGAGATGTACTTTAAATTTCCTTTAAAACCATTTAGATCAGGAAAAGATCTTTTCTAATAGACTTATCAAAGGGTTCGTGTTGAGACTTAATCATTAATCAAGATAGATATATAGTATCTGTCATGTTATCCTCTTGGACATGAAGGTTATGTGTCTTTTTAAATGTACTTATAGGTTCTGAGCATTCTTTTATCACATTCTTCATCGTAATTCCTTGATATCCCTGTTTCTTATTCATTTTGTATTATTAGGCTCTAGCACTATTTAGTGTTTGACACATAGCAACCCTAATAGAATGAATGAATGAATGAATATCCACAGAAAATAAATTCCAGTGGGGGTGAGTTAGCATCTGTTGTTTTGCCTGCCCAGCACATATCCTGATAGGAAGCTCTCTGAAGAGAGAGTCCATTGATTCCTGTTGCCTAGATCCCTGGAGCTGCTTTTATTTCTGATTTTTCCAAGGTCTGGATCTTCAGCTTTTCCTTTGATTCCTGAGTTGTTCTGTCAAGAAACTCCCTTTTCCGCCCTAAGTTGATTACTTGCCACCAAAGAACTTTGAATTTATATTTGTATCAAAGAAGTGGCAACAGGCACAGCTGTATTATTTGTCCCTAGGAAGACACAAAGCTTTTGCAGAGGATGGGTTTCCACTGCCAGCCTAAATTTTAGCATCAAGGGAGAACTAGAGGATTTGTAGGGAGGCCCACTCACTTTATGGTTGGAAGGATTTTCAGACTACACTTTCCTGTGCACACAAGGGGAATTACAAATGTAGATGACTTTGTTGTTAAAGATAATAATATATAAAAACCTTTGGGAGAAAATACCTGTTGGGGAAATTTTTATTGAAATACAGTTTAATAAACAGGAATGAAGCATATATGCATCTCTTGAATGGAATTTGTTTTTGTTTTTGTTTCAGAGGACTGACACAATATTTGTTCAACAAATATTTGTAGAATGCCCACTATGTATAAGACACTTTAATATTAATCAGTAGACAAAACAAAGATCCTTTCCTTAATGGAGCTTAGATTCTGGAGGAAAAAGACAGAAAATAAAAAATAAGTCAACTGTCTAATGTGTTAGGTGATAAGTGCTATGGGGAAAGTCTTAGCAGAGCAGGGTTAGAAGGAATGGAGTGAGTGTAATGATTCTAAAACTATATCCACAGATTTTGTGAAACTCCTCCCTTTTTTCTTTCTTTTTTTTTTTAAGAAACGGGGTCTCGATATGTTGTCCAGACTGAAGTGCAGTGGCTATTCACAGGCACGATCCCACTACTGATCATCACGGAGTTTTGACCTGCTCAATTTCTTACCTGGGCCAGTTCACCCCTCCATAGGCAACCTGGTGGTCCCCTGCTCCTGGGAGGTCACCATAATGATGCCAAACTTGTGTGTGCACTTGATAGGCATAGCTTACTACAGCCCAAAACTCCTGGGCCCAAGCGATCCTCCCACCCCGGCCTCCCAAGTAGCTAATACTATGGGCAGGTGCCACTGTGCCCAGTGAAACTCCTCCTGGTGAAACTCTTCCCTTTAAGAGGTGGAGCTTAATCCTGTTCCCTTTGAGTGTGGGCCAGACTTAGTGACTCACTTCTAACAAAGAAAATATGGCAAAGTGATGACATATTACTTTTGAGATTATGTTATGAAAAGACTGGCTTTTGTCTTAAGTACATTCTCTTTCTCTTAGGTCACCTGCTCTGAGATAGCTGCCAGGTTGTCAGCAGCCTAATGGAGAAGCTAATGTGGCAAGTAGCTAATGCCTTCAGCTAACAACCAGCAATGATCTGAGGCCTGCCAACAATCATTTGTGAATTTGAAATGGGATCTTCCTGTCCTAGTTGCAACTTGAGATGACTACAACCTGTGAGAGACTCTAGTCTAGAACCACTCAGTTAAAGTACTCCCAGAATCCTGACCCTCTGAAACTGTATGAGATAAAACATGTTTGTTGTTTTAAGCTGCTAAATATTGGGATTCATTGTTACATGGTAATAGATAACTAATACAGTGAAGTTAGAAAGGGGGCAGTTGTAGTATTAAATAGGGTGGTCTAGGCCTCATTGAGAAGGCGATATTTGAACTAAGACTTGAAGGAGGTGGGGAGACATATCTGAGGGAAGCCAAGGAGGCTGGCATGATTGGAGTTGAGTAATGGCAGTAGAGAGTAGTAGTAAAAGGGGTTAACCAGTAGGGTGGCCAGCTTATACAGGAACTTCTAGGCCAGGCGTCCCCAAACTATGGCCCGCGGGGCCGCATGCGACCCCCTGAGGCCATTTATCCACCCCCCCGCCGCACTTCAGGAAGGGGCACCTCTTTCATTGGTGGTCAGTGAGAGGAGCACAGTATGTGGCTGCCCTCCAACGGTCTGAGGGACAGTGAACTGGCCCCCTGTGTAAAAAGTTTGGGGACGCCTGTTCTAGGCTATTGTAAGAATACTGGCTTTCCTTCTAGATTAAAGGGAGAGCCATTGCAGAGTTCTGAGCATACGAACATACAGATGTTACCAAAAAATTGAACAAATGTATTAGAGAGTATAAAGAATATGTCATGTATTTAAATTATGTTTACATAATTTTTTATTGATAACTACAGATCAAGTACTTTTGTTGTTTAACTTAATAGAGTAGTGGATGCGAGGGCAAAACTATAGCTATAAGAAAAGATTCTTAGGGAATGAATATAAATAATCCTGAACATTTTCACTGAAAATTATATAACCAAATTTAATTTGTATAATATCGTGTTATTTAGTCAAAGGATTTTGGGAAAAAGAAAATTTATAAGATTTCTTAACTGTTTGCAATGTACAACCTGCAGAAAAGGATTACCTTTCTTTTTCCTTTTATCTTATGTGCATTTGCAAACAAGTCAGTGTGATTTATTAAAAGAATGAAGCAAAGACACTACTGGATGGATTTTCTCAACAATCATGAGAAAAATAAATTTAATTCTTTAATTCTAAATTAAATTTCTGTAACTTACTGATATGACAAATAGCTATAATGGGACAGTTTATTCTTACCCAATGTAAGGCATTTTTGATGTTTAGGGATGTATCTCTCAAGGAGACGCTTCATACATGAATCTTTGGCCTCATCCAAAGCACATTTTCCATCACCATTTCTAAATAATGGGTCAGCTCCATTCAAAAGAAGTAACTCTGCCACCTAGAAAAAAAAGTTGTTCATGTAAGGGAACCCAGACTCAAGGTATATAACAGTAAATGTGTGCTGGCAGACAGCTCTAAGAAACATCAAATATCTCTTTCAAAAACACAGTTTGGATTTATCTATAAATCCTCATCCAATAAAAAAAGAATTAATGTAGTTGCTACTGAATTTTAATTTGTTGATACATGAGTTTATTCTTACTATAAAAAGACTAAAAAAAGAATGAAAGGGAGAAAGAAAAAAGAAGGAGGGAAGAGAAGAAAGGCAGAAGGAGGTAAGGGGGATGGAAGGTAGGAAAGCAGGCAAGCAGAAAGGCAGGAGGCAAGAAAGGTTGAGGTAGAAATGTCTGTGGCTCAGCCGCTAGCGAAATGAAGTTAGCAAATACACCAAGAATTAGGACTGGGTTATGTTGTAGTAAATATAATTTAACAAGTTCCAGGAGATAATTACATCTTCCATCTATACCTGTACGCTGCTGCTCTGCCTCAGACTAGGGTTGGGGAAAAAGTGGTCCGTCTGTTACTACTTCTCAAATAACCTCCCCTATGCAGCTCTCCTGAGCTCCCCCAATGCCCCACCACCCACTGCTGCCCAGAGAAAAACAACTTCTCCCTCCTTTCACAGACATATTACTGCTCAATATACTCTATATTATACCTGTTTCTTTCATAACTGTCCTACTGTACTCTTTCTTGGGAATGAAACTATGTTTTTCTAAAAATAATTTATTAGTTTTCAACAGGAAATTAATGAATATGGTTCAAAATACAGAAGGCTCAGAAGAAAATACAATGTAAAATAAGTTTCACTCCTCTACCCCTGTCCTATTATTTTTTCCTGTGTCAGGAAAAAATAGTTTATTCTGAATTTTTCCAACAATAGTCTAGTCCAACAGGTATGTATGTATGTATGTATGTATACATAATATGTATGCATATATATTTTCTTACACAAGTGGTCATATAGTGTATACACTCTGTAGTTTGCCTTCTTTCCCCCACCTCCCAGCAAAAGTCCTTGGAGACTGTTCCGTTATCAGTGTAGACTACACTTCCTCATTCTTTTCAGCAGCTAAATAATAGTTTACTATATGTATGTACTGTAATTTATTTCACCAATACCCTATTAATGAATGTTTAAGTTGCTTCAAAGCTTTTGCTACAGATATATGTCTTTATATTCCCAAAGACTATCTTAGTATCTTACATAAAGTAAATATTAAAAAGTATTGTTTAGTAAAGAATGACTACAGGGCAGGAAGGATATGGTGAGTAGGCTTTAAGTAACATTACACTAAAAGAAGCCTAAATTTCCATGTTTGTTGTCTGGAATGAGAGGAAGGATATTAATTTCTATATAGTATATGTACCTAAAATTTAAAAATATGTGTATATTTCCTTTTACAAGAAAGCATCCTAGCCTACTAAAATAGTTTGAATCTTTCTCTCTTACCTTTGATATTACCTAGTTTATATTATTCACAAACACAACAGGTACACTTTTCCCATCTTCCTGTAACAGTAAAATGATTATCACAAATTTACATTATGTTGCCTTTTTTTTTTTGGAGACAAGAGTCTCACTCTGTTGCCCGGGCTGGAATACAGTGGCATGATCTTGGCTCACTGTAACCTCTGCCTCCCAGATTCAACCAATACTTGTGCCTCAGCCTCTCAGGTAGCTTGGAAAAGGTGTGTGCCACCACGCTTGGCTAATTTTTGTATTGTTAGTAGAGATGGGGTTTCATCTTGTTGGCCAGGCTGGTCTCAAACTCCTGACCTCAAGTGATCCACTTGCCTTGGCTTCCCAAAGTGTTGAGATTACAGGTGTGAGCCACTGCACCTAGCCACTGTGTCAGGCTTTTAAAGACGATATATATCTTTCTTTCAAGACAATAACTAGGTAGTCTCAAGTATACTGCATCTCTTTTAAAACTGCTTTTTAATTACTTCATACTGAGATCTGTGTGTATGTATGTGTGTATGTCCCTTTAGTGTATTGTTAATTCATGTTTGAAATCATAAAAGCAACATTTGCACATTGCCAAAAAAGTTAAAAATTACAGAAAGATATTAAGTGGAAAGTAAAAGTCCCTCCTACACTTATTTTGGTAGGCTGAAAATGCCCCCTCATCCACCCCCACCAAAAGATATCCATGTCTTCATCTCTAGAACCCGTAAATATCAGCTTTATTTGGAAAAAAAATCTTTGCAAATATGATTAAGGATTTTGAGATCAGGGGCTTATCTTCAATTATCTCAGTGAGGCTTAAATACCATCACAAGTATCCTTAAGAAAGAAGCTGAGCGAGATTTTATATGTACATACGGAGGAAAAGGTTATGTGAAGTCAAGGGAGAGGATGAAGTGATGCAGGTAAAATCAAGGAAGGCCGCCAGCCACTAGAAGCTGAAAGAGGCAAGTAACAGATTATCCTCTACAGCCTTTGGAGGGAGTCAAGCCCCACTGATACCTTGATTTTAGTCTAGTGATTCTGATTTTGGATTTCTAGTCTCTAGAGCTGTGAGAGAATAAATTTCTGCTGCTTTAAGCCACCCAGTTTGTGCTAATAGGTTATAGCTGTCATAGGAAACCTATACAGATTTGGGTTGCAGAAAGTGGGGTGCTACTGTAACAAATACCTTAAAATGTGGAAGTGGCTTTGAAACTGGAAAGCCTGGATTGTCTTGAACAGATATTAGTAGGCATATTGATGTTAGGCCGGGCATGGTGGCTCACACCTGTAATCCCAGCACTTTGGGAGGCCAAGGCAGGCGGTTCACCTGAGGTCAGGAGTTTGAGACCAGCCTGGCCAACATGGCAAACCCCCGTCTTTATTAAAAATACAAAAATTAGCCAGGCATGGTGGTGGGTGCCTGTAATCCCAGCTATTCAGGAGGCTTAGGCAGGAGAATCACTTGAACCCAGGTGGCAGAGGTTGCAGTGAGCTGAGATCAAGTCACTGCATACCAGAGTGGGGCTCCATCTCAAAAAAAAAAAAAAAAAAGAAAGAAATATTGATGTTAGAGATCCTACCAGTGAGACTCAGGAGGAGCACATTAGAGAGAACCTGTATCACCTTAGATAGTGCATATATCATCATGAACAGAATGTTGGTGAAAAAAATGAACATTAAAGGCATTATTGGCAAGGGCTCAGAAGGAAATGTAGAATATGTTTTTGGAAGCTAGAGAAAAGGAGGTCTTTGCTACATAGTGCCAGAAAGCCTTGGTCCTACAAGTTGTGTGAAAAGCAGAACTTGTAAGTGATAAACTTAAATGTCTAGCTGAGGTGATTTTCAAGTGAAGCACTGAAAGTGCAACCTAGTTTCTTCTTGGTGATTATAGTACAATGTGAGGAGAAAAAGATAAATTGAAGAAAGAACTGTTAGGCAAAAAAGAACCAGAACTTGATGATTTGGGAACTTCTGTCCATCAGGATTGGAAATAAATGGTAAAACTTGGAGATTCCTGTAAGAAAAGTGTGCTTTGTAGAAAGGCCAAGGGTGTAGCTGGAAAATCTCTGCTAATGCTGAAGAGAGTAGGAATGTGATTCATACACCCATTCAACCATCTCAACAGAAGCCAGGTGGGCCTGTGGAAAGATCTGTGAAAAACACTGTTGTCTAATGGCATGAATCCCTTTGACATATATGGAAAACTTACAAGGTTTCTTGAAAATGCTGTCTGCAAAAGCACTGCATCTTAGACTGAAAGAGACAGAATGAAATGAAAGACTGCCAAAATTTTAGAGACAGTAAATAGGTTAATAAAACTACTCACCTGTAAATGTATGCTACCCTTCAATAGAAAAGAAAGGGCAGTACCAGGAATAGAGAGTTAGCATGGAGTGAAGAGTAGCAGATGGCTGTGATATAACAGAGGCAGACTAGTCAGAAGTTTAGGAGATTAGGGAATAGTCAAAGAGAGCTTGGCTAAAACTAGTCCATCTTGGTGGTTCAGAAGAATGTTGTGTATATACAAGGCAATGTCCTTTGAGGAAATGCTGAAGAGGAAACTTCTGAGTTACTGTTCCTTGGCTAAATGTAGGCCAAACTCAAAACTCCCCAAAGAATGAACACAGTCTATAAGTCACACCAGATCCAACAGTAAAATGTAAAAATCTTTCTGATTCAGGAAGATTAAACACAACCCCTAACCAATCAGTATTTTACTAATAAATGGTCTTGAACCAAGGGTATTCTGTTGGAAACCAGGATAAAGATAAAAACAAGAAAAACACAATTTTGCAAAGAGGGTTCACAAAGCTGCACACTGTGAGGGAAACAGACTTACAACTCATCAAACAAATAAAAAAGCAACCCAAGTTGGGCATGTGGGCTGGAGGTACTCAGCATCCATAGTTGCTATCACCCATTATGTTAAATGTCCAGTTTTGGCTGGATGCAGTGGCTCATGCCTGTCCCAGTGATTTGGAAGGCTAAAGCAGGAAGATGACCAGAGGCCAGCAGTTCTAAATCAGCCTGGGTAACACAGCAAGATTCCATCTCTACAAAAAATAAAAGTAAAAATAATTTTTTGAAAAGCTGGGTGTGGTGGTGGATGCCTATTGTCCCAACTACTTAGGAAGCTAAGGCAGGAGGATCATCTGTGCCCAAAAACTTGAGGCTGCCATGAGCTATGATCACATCACTGCACTCTAGCCTGGGCAACAGAATGAGACTCTATCAAAAGAGAGAGAGAGAGAGAGAGAGAGAGAGAGAAAGAGAGAGGCAAAGAGAGAGAGAAAGAGAGAGGCAGGAAGAAAGAAAGAGAGACAAAGAAAACCCACTAAAGTATGACCCATACACAAGATAAAAAGCAGTGGCAGAAACTGCTTTGAGAGGGTCTATATTTGCAGAAAAATACTCTAAAACAGCTATTATAAATATGTTCAAAGAGCTGATGAAAGCCATGTTTAAAGAATTAAGAAAAAATATGGTGATAATGATTTATAAAATAAAGAATATTAGTAAACAGAAAGTATAAAAAAATCAAA